CAGCTACTACTGCTGCTGCTGCTACCGCAACCTACTAGTACCACCACGACTACGACTACGACTGACACTACCACTACTACTACTACTACTACTACTACTACTACTACTACTCCTACTACGACGACGACGACGACTACTACTACTACTACTACTACTACTACTATCACTACTACTACTACTACGACTACGACGACTACTACTACTACTACTACTACTACTACTACTACGGCCACTACTATACTTCCACGACGACGACTACTACGACTGCGAGCTGCATGTTCCTGTTATGAACTGAACATCAGCAATGCTATCAGCTGATTTTCGGCTTCATTGACTGCAATGGCAAGCGCCCTTGGCTCCTATACACAAGTGACATCATCAGTCTTTACTGCCTTGCCAAGGCCGTACAGACCGTCGCTCGCGGGGCAGACCGGCTTAAACGTCCTGGGAGATCAGTTGTCAAGACGATGTCATGCCAAGCAAGTCGCATTCAGCTACAAACAGAGAGTAAACATAACCTCTATCACTCTATGAGCTGCAAGTGGAGCAACTCCACACAGTAAACCCTGAACGTGACCCTCAAGGAACCACGCCTAACCTAGCAAAGCAGACTGAAGGCAAGCAAAGGATCTCTGGAGACAGATCCCTCATGTCCAGCGCGGCCGACTGCGCCTGTGAGCACAACGCGGCTGTACAATAACTGTGAAGGTATCTGGTGATCGTAGATTGGGAGGAGCTCATCGCGTGGTCGAAGTCCCCTAAACCCAGAACCCGCTAGAACTCCCATACGCCCTACAGAACCCATATGAATCCCTTTTGGAGCACGTCTTCGAAATCCACAGAACTCCAACATCCTCGACCTGAGCTGACGCAGCGAAGCTCAACCCGGCGACGGCCGCAACAGCCGGCGGAAGCGGTTCCAGCGGCCCCCGCGCTGGTGGCGGTGCCGGCAGGAAGGCCGTAAGGGCCATCCTTGAGAGATCCGGCGGGGTTTAGGGTTTAGGGTTGTGCTCATAGAGTTGTGAGGTGTTTAACAAAGTCGGTCGCAGCTTGAGCAGGACATCATCTTGATGTCATTGGACAAGGAGAGATCCTCGTTCAGCTTTCATGTCACGCCATCGAGATCTTTGGGAGCTAGGATTAGGGGGACCCTTGGGGATATAGACCCTCTCAATATGGTCCCTTTAAGAGAGCCAAAAGTAGGGTTCAGAAGGGGTACCCTTCAAGGGGTACCCCTAGTAATACTACCTAATCTTGTGCTTTGCATGAAGCTCACACCATGTCCAGCTCAAAGTTCACTGCAGGAAGAACGCCCACTGGGAGACGAAGCTGCCACTTCGAAGGAGATCAACGCCATGGTCCAGGCATAATCCGGGGAAACCGAAACCAGCTGATTCACCGTCGGTTGCAGGATGAAAAACTAGGCCCCGCTAGGCCTGTTAGGCCATAAAGCAAGCCCTTCGGCCTGCAAGGCGTCACTGACGGGTACAGTCAGCTGCATTGTTACGACTCGCACCTTCGATCGCCCCTTGCTTGTCAGTGGCTCGGGGAAGATCTTGTACAGCCATTCACGCTCTGAAGCTGAGGAGGCCGAAGAACTAGTGGGTGACTATGCGACCAGCATGCCGCCGGACCGGAAATTTCTGCAATGCACATACATAGTACTTTATCATGATCCCACTGCCCTCCAGCTACCAGTGCAAAGTTTTAAGCAGTCGCAGGCCCCCCACAGGATTTAGAATTTTTTGTCCACGCCTTTTTGCGTCCTGGTTCGTAGTCCTTACTTAGTCTTCCATACAAAAAATCAACCTACCTACTCGCCGGCTCGCGTGGGGTTTAGGGATTTTAGGGTTTGGGATTTAGGGTCAGGGGTTTAGGGTTTGGGGTTTTCGTGGGGTTTAGGCTTAAAGGAAGTCTGAAGCCTTCTCAGACTTCTAGAAGGGGAAAAGAGGCTTGCATCTTGTACTGCACGGCTTCATGGAGACTGGCTCTGTGCTGCAGCAGGCCTTGCAAGTGGCACATAAAACGGCTCTGATCCACGGTTTGGGGCTTATAACCCTAAACCCTAGACCCTAAGCCCCTAAACCCTAAGCCCCTAAACCCTAAGCCCCTAAACCCTAAACCCCTAAACCAAAACCCTAAACGACTAAACCCTAAACCAAAACCCTAAACCACTAAACCCTAAAC